AGAGCATGATGGCAAACAGCATTGAGCGCTGACGTGTGGCTCATCATCGTCAGTATGAACAGGAAAGACGAGCTGTCTGAAACTGTGAGAATTTACTCCTAAAACTTTATTTGCACTAAAGAAATTTTCAAGCATCATAAATCAGCTGCCTTGTCAATTTTCTACTGATGTGGTTGCAAACAATACATTATTGTATAATAAATAACATATGTGAACAACACATTGTTATTATTGTTTTTGATCAGGACATGTCTTTTAACCCCCACATTAAAAAAGTTACAAGAACCGCTTTCCTCCACCTGCATAATATCACTAGAAACATCTTGTCTAAAAATGATGCAAACTGGTTCATGCTTTTATCACATCTAGGCTGGACTATTGCAATGGTTTATTATCTGAGTTTCCAAAATAATCTTTAAAAAGTCTTCAGTTAATTCAAAATGCTGCTGCCAGAGTTTAAATGAGAGTTAGTAGGAGAGATCATCTCTCTCTAGTTTTAGTTTCTCTCCACTGGCTCCCTGTCAAGTCCAGAATTGAATTCAAAATCTTACTTCTAACCTACAAAACTCTCAACAACCTAGCTCCATCTTATAGTAGAGATCTTATTGTTCCATATTTTCCTAACAGAGTACTTTGCTCTCAAACTGCAGGTTTACTTGTGGTTCCTAGAGTTTCCAAAAGCAGAATGGGAGGAAGATCTTTCAGTTCTCAGGCTCCTCTCTTGTGGAACCAACTTCCAGTTTCTGTCCATGAGGCTGACACATTGTCCAGTTTTAAGATTAGACTTACGTCTTTCATTTTTGATAAATCCTCTAATTAGGGTCGGTTTGGGTTTCCTGAGCTATCCCTTAGTTATGTTTCTATAGGCTTAGACTTAAACTGACCACATCTCCTCTCTCTGCAGCTGTTTTTACTTTGTACTTGCTCTACTCCACCTGTTTGTATTTGTAATTATTACTATCCTTACCATGTGGTTTTTGTCTTTACTCCTATAGAAAGTACACCTGGACCTGTCATCCTGTGTTTGTCTCACCTTCCTGTCCTCTCAGTCTCCAGCCAGTTGAAGCAGATGGACACTCGTCCTGAGCCTGGTTCTGCTGGAGGTTTCTTCCTGTTAAAAGGGAGATTTTCCTTTCCACTGTTGCCTTTGTGCTTGCTCAGGATGGGAGACTGTGTGCTTGTAACTATGTGTGAATTTAAAGACAAGAACAAAGCCCAAATTATTACATCCACAGGAGAGTTTGTATAAAAAACAACAAACACTGTTTATCTACCCTCCCTGCCTGTTTTTTTCAGTCATTACATCCGTCACTCAATGCTTTGGTCAAAAGCGTCCAAAGATTTCCATGCTCATAAGTGACCACCAGGTCTCTCAACACATTTAGCTTTGTCCTCCTCATATGGGTCGATACCAATGACAGCATTTGTTTTCTTTATACATTTTAATGATAAACTATTTAACGTGTCTCTTTAAGTTCATTCAGCATTTGAAGAAGCTGTGCACAGGAAACGCTGGTCATTGGTATCCAACCAAGATGGCAGTTTTATGCGAGTAGTTTCTGGTACAGTCTAATGCAAGGGTGGCCAACATGTTTATCCAGAGGTCCAAACTGGGACATTTAATGCAACCAAAGGGCTGCATAGATAATTGGATTTTTTCTGTTTTTTTTTTTTTTTCAAAACAGATAATCTGGAAATTTCCAGGCCTTTCCTTGTTGTAGCATGGTTAGCATGCTTGATAAAAAAAATGTCTCTTCAATACTCTTTAAGAATACAAACTTTCTGTAAACTAGTTTTTGTGACAATCTATTTGTTATCTTAAATATGGAAGCGTGTGATATATGCTTTGCTTTTAAAGTCTTTAAGGTTCAGTTTAGTTCTGGAAACACAAAAAAACAAAAGTTAATATTTAGTCTCAGTCCAAGTGTTCTTGGTGTATTTGTCCAAGATGTTTGATTTAGACTTCCTTAAAATTCACTGATACAATGCAGGTTTTCATAAACTTATTTAAAGTTGTTTTCTTTTCAATTAAGGATACGGGGCCAGATGGCAACTGTCCAAGGGTCCCTTTTGGCCCTCCGGTCATATGTTGCCCACATCTGGTCTAATGGGAACTACGGTATGTACTGAAAACATTTGACGTGTCATGAAACAAAAAATCCAACAAAGATCCAATAGCTGTTACAGAATCCTACATGAGACAAGAATAGGACAACAATCCAAACTTCAAAACGTCTAAATTCTTTAAGAGTTTTGAAATAATGAGTAATCACTTTAAAAAGAGAAGGGCAGCTTTTGCAGGTTCAACTAAAAGTGTTCAGTCTGTGTTTTCAAACAGTATTATATATAAAACAGTACTACACCCTGTTTTTGCCTTAAATAACAGATTTTCTTTGAATTCACAACAAAATGGGAAATGTTGACGTGTAGATGAAAACTTTTGCACAGCACTGCATGTGCAAAGGTTTTCTCCAGAACATCAAATGACAGTGAAGTGACTGCCTCACTAGTCTTACGTTGTTCTGCCATGGTTGTTCTGGTTCTAGCTCCCTCACGTGGTGGCAGGTTAGAACTATACTATACTGTATACAGTATATATTCTGTGGGTATTTAAAGGTGCAAATGGCAGCAGCTTCTAACTACAGTAAATATATGTATCTCATATTGGGTGTGGGAGTAACTTAGGGTAATTAATATCATGGTAGCTTGGTGGTCAGTGCCAGTCTCGTAATCCTGAGGCCACAGGTTTGAGCCCAGGTTGTGTCAGAAAAGGCATGCGGCTAAAAACAGATGTCAAATTTTTTTTTTGTGCGACAACCAAAAAGAAAAGAAAAGAAAGTCCCTTAAATTAATTTACTGTATGCACCTATGGGCAGTATCTTTTCTAAAAAAAAAAAAAAATACATTAAATGTACTTTCTGTAAGTTATCAAAATATCTCATGAACATATTGACATACTTTACTGAAACTCCCAGAAAGTACCGTAATCATTTACAACCAGTTAACTTTTGAAGTCAAAACAATTTCAGATTAAAATTAAACAAATTCATCAACATAAAATGATTATACAGTACCTTGTACAAATATTGCATCCTTTAGCTACTTTTAGCTACCACGCTGCCATTTTTTATTTTTAGCTACGGTTCAACTACTTTGGCACTTTTTAAACTTCTTTTAGCTACAATTCAGCTCTTCTTAACTTTTAGCTAAAATTTTGCTACTTTTATGCTGTTTTGTTATTTTTAGCTATGCTGTTTTCCAGTTCTAGCATGTTATGTTAACTTTTGATACTTTTATTTTATTTTTTTTAACTTATTTTAGCTTTAGCATTTGTTTTGCTACTGTGAGCTAGTTTTGCTCCCTCCATCTACAATTTTGTTACTTTTTGCTTTTAGTTTTTCCCAATTTTAGCAAGTTTTTTTTTTGGCCATTTCAGACACCGTTTAGCAAATTTTGACATCTGCACAATTTTTGTTTTAGCAGCTGCATTTCAAATTTAATCTCCTGTTTGTTGTTCTACCCATTTGCATCTCCGTTTTAGCTTCTTCATCAAATCTGAGCAGCTCATTCTGAATTCAGCAGGAAAGTCTGTTCCTCTAGTTTTGTCTTTGCTTTTTAGACCTGCCAAGGGGAAAATTTCTCCTCAAACCCAACAGATTTACAGATTTTAAAACTTTTACTTACAAGAATTCAAGTGATTAAATTAAAACACACAATTTTTTTTTTTTTTTTTTTCAAAATCACTTTTATTCCACATTTGATTTCATCAGGTCTTAAGGCACCCTGAAGAGATGTTACAGATTTTCACTGTGGGTTCCTTTAAAGACTGCGTAAACATAGCTTTGAATAAGATCTTCTGTAAATCTTTGCTTAAATTATATTTCTTTACAATGCACAGACATTGTGTTTTGTGACAAAAATACAATGTGAATTAGGTCATTATGATTGTGTGTCTGTGTGTGCATGTTTGTACGTGTGTATATTTATATATAGATATATACACTGAAGAGTAATAGATTGGCAGACAATCAGATAAACAGGCTGAAGAAGAGAGTAAACTAACAATCTTTGAGACCCAGATAGATATACAGATCACATAGAGATATACAGTACATAGTTACAGTGAATGCTTTTATTTTTGCAACGCTTCTCCACCTGTCACCTCAGCCACCACTGGTGGCGCTCTGAGCGAGGCGGTTCATCTCAGTCCTGGAGGGCCCGTCCACATGCTGGCTGTCGCAGTGGAGCGGGGAATAAAACAGGAAGACAGGCAGACAGATAGACGCAACATGCAGACAGACGAACAGAGAGACGCACGGCACAAGACTGGGTTGCAGCGCCGGAGGCCACAACACAAAGATCTATCTAAATTTCCCTAAATATGGTAAGGATCACAAGGTATTTATAGCTGAAAGGGAGTTTGTAGTTGGCATTTCATATACAGGGATACATTGGCTATATTTGATTATCAAGGTACGTCTTGAAATCTTTGTGATGTGCGCTGAGATGGAAATACTCTGAAGATAAATATTCTACTCATTTTTCAGCTCAACTATACAGCAAGATAGAAATCCTCGCAACGATAAAACTGTCTCTCGGTTTGAGAGACAAAAACAACACGCTCATTCTAACAGCAGGGAGATAATAAAAAGTCATATTAAAAGGTATCAGCAATTAAACAACAGCTCTAAAGAGCTCGGCTGCAATGGCTATAAGTTATCAAACCACAGCTATGCTAAAATAAAACTGAACTGAATAAAGGATAAAGAGTGCAGCAGGTGGATGCAGGGATGGATGGATTGTTGCCAGGACCAGAGCCTGTGTTTGGTTCTGGGGATGTCAGCGAGGAATTGTGGCAGAAAGAAGGGTCAGAAAGGTCATCAAAGCAACATCTGAGCTCAACTATCTGAAGCGTTAACTCATCTGTGAAACTGAGCTGCCACATCCAGAAAACTGACGCCTTTGTGACGTATTTGACACTTCCTTCCTTTTTCTTCTTCTTTTTTTTAACACAAATCCTTAGCGAACACGGGCGACCTTATCTGGTTCCACAGGCCATCTTCCCTCTTTACTCCACAACCTTGATCCTGAAGGTGACGCGGCCCAGGAACTTGTCCCTCTCGTCGTTGTTGCGCAGGTTGGAGCCCTCCACCCGGCACTCCACAGACAGCTCCTTGTTGTAGTCCTCCTTGGTGAGCAGCAGCTTCACAGCCACCAGAGGCTGCACGTAGCTCTCCTGCAGGGATTGTGTTGGTTGGTGGCGTGGTTCAAACATACATCTGTCAGCAGCGCTGCATCTCTGACAAATACTCACATGGGCCTTCTTGCCATAGTAGGGAAAATACATCTTATCAATGCGCCCCTCATAGGGGAAATACTGCATCTGGACTGGGTTGTCTTTCTGCAAAATAGAAAACAGGATGAAGTAAACATCGCCTCAGCTGCTCCTCTGGAGTTAAAGAGAAGTTACGGTCATTTGGAAGTAGAGTTCTATGGAAAAGTGTGGAACGAATGATATCCCAGCTGTAGTTAGCTAGCATTTCACAACGACCTCAGTTTGGAGAAATGGAAAACAAAGCTGTGGGAATTAGGGGTCAGAGGGTGCTGCAGCACCCCCTAATGAATGTGTGACGGCATTCATATTTTTCAAAAATAAATTTTATTATTCAATATGTTTAAATTCCAATATTACTGAGTTTTGAAATCTGGCATGTAGACCATCATGTTGTTCATGTGTGCAAAACTACAACCACTTAAAGACTACAAAAAAGGTGGTGCTGCATGTATACAATACGCTGCTGAGCAATACGAATGGCTTTCAAAAAACGAGTTTTATTCTGACATGACTGGAGAGCTAACAGCTAGTCTGAACGCAGCTAAGACCAAAGTGAATGGCTGCCATCTTAAAACAAGGTGACGCTCGGAAATGTCAAAGCAGTTCATGCAAGAACTCTTTTATAAACCTTCACAGCACAATCGGCTTCTCAGGACACGGCTATGAGCGTAGGATTCTGCTGCTGCTAGAGCAGACTGGGAACACTTCCAGCAGGAATAACACAATATTTCTACCAAAATAACTAAATAATGGCAACATAAATGTTAAATCATGAGTGTTCATATAAACCGGTAACTGTCGTGATCTGTGTTGGACACAGGCCCACTTGTACCACAGTGGAGAACTGCTAGTCTGAGCACAACCACTTCCAGAGAGGATTGCTGTCAAGTTTACACAAGTTCAGTCTCCAAAACTTGTAGCAGTTTATACAAATATGTAGTTAAAATGTTTACATTTCCACTATTTTTAAAATTACATGGTTATTCTGGCAGATATATTACAATAATTTTGTTAGAAATATTAGGAGGTTTTCCTGCTAGCTGCTGCTGCTATGCACTTGTTTCTTGAAACTATCCACATGAAAATAGCCCGAAACGCTGTAGTAGCTCTGCAAGGCTGACATGTGGCACTGTAACGTAGCTTTGAAAACACACCCAAAACAGGAAACAAGGCGTGGAGCATAAAGCTTAACCGCTGCACAAAGTGTAAACACAAGAAGAAGCAGCAGTCACCCTCATGATGTAGGCCATATTAAAGGTGGTGACATCACTGTTTTCAAAATGCTTAAAATTTTGTCTGTCTATACAAAAACACAAGTGTTCAAAGACTTGTTTCACTCTCAGTTTTAAGGGAATACTGTTTGGGACTCCTAAAACTTTTTTTGTTCTGTGTTGAACTAATGCAAGGTTAAAAAGATTACAAAAATAAAATTACAACCGTTTTATATTCACAGAACACTGTTTTGGTTCCCCTCAATGAGCTAGATAAATATTCACAACTTTTCCACCGAACCCCACTTTAAAATGTTTAGAATACCCCTTTAGAATGCAATCTGGACATGTTTTCAAAAGAACATGACACAGGATTGAAAGTAAAAGCAATGACGCCCTGTGGTTAGTGAAGCGTTTAATGAAATGAGAAACAGGATGTGTTATGGTGAGTCTGAAAAAGTGACATTTCTGGCTAATAAAAAACACGGATTAGGTTAAAAATAAACTGGAAAATGTCACTGGGATGGGTTTAGAGGCACCCGCATAATGACCTGTTACATAACTGAGATGTGTTAATAATCCTACTGGCCTTATCCTGATAATTTACATATTCGTCTTACCCTAAAGACATCAGTGACGGCATGCAGAAAGACATGAGACACAAAACAAACAAAAAGGAGGAAGAAACGAAAGCAAGATTAACAAAAAGGAAATACTGAAACCATTTAGGTCATTAGTGTTTTTAATGGAGGAAATGAAAAGACACAAAAACACAGACATGAAGGCAGCACATATAGATGGATTTATCGTTTTACTTTGACCGTGCAGTTGATGTAAGGGTCTCCAGACGGTTTCAGACCGATGATCTATGGAAATGAGAGAAACAGTTAAAGACTGACCAGATATTGTTTTGGAGAAGCTGTCAACAAGTGCTGACATTTTCACATCGTTTAACCCAGAAAGCGAGCGTTACCCTGTTCATTTTCAGCAGAACGCAGGGTTTTCCTTCATGATATCCAAAGTTGGTGTCAGAGAGGCCGGAGCAGCGACTCAGCGTTGATCTCTTGAAGCGACAAACCTTCTTTGCAATTTCCTCACTATCGTCTTGCAAGGTGTATTCACCGGGAATGCAGTTTTCATTCTTCTCCTGTTCTGTGTCATTATAAGCTAACAGAAAAACGGCATGGATAAAGATAGAGGTTTAGATCCAGGTGGTACCAGTTATCACTCACCTCCAAAAGGCAGAGGACAGTAATGTGTTTGCCTGTTTCTTTGCGTGCGTAATTGTGATGTCTGTTAGAAAAATATCTCAATATCTGTCTGTTAGCCAGATCAGGTAAAGTCAAAGTTTGATGTGGCACTAGCTGAAGGTTAACACATACTCATAATAATGACATAGCATTATTTTGAAAGTTTGACCAAAACAGCTGCGACTCCATTATTTCTCAACATATGATGATATTAGTCTAAAACCTGAGCATGAAAGACTGCAGGCAACGTGCACTCCCTCAAGGAATGCTAGGCCTGTCATTTCATCATGGGTCAGTGAGATTTCTTCAAGCAGGTAACACTTACAGTTAAGGGAGATGTTCAGGTTTTGGACATACTGAGCATAGTTGGATGGATCCGATTTGTTGAATGAGATATCCAATGAATTTGGACGAATCACCAGTCCTGCAACAAGAAAACAAGTAAATAATCAGGAGGACAGTGAGCGTGTTGATGGCGAACAAAGCGCAGCTGCTGAAGTTCGTCTTGGAAACGAAACCGTCCTAAGAGCTTTTCCCACTGCCGATAAAAGTCAGGAAGACGACGTCCAAACAGATCGATGCAAAAAGCAGCTGTAATGTTACACGTTGTTGTGACAGCATCTAAGTTGATGCAATATGAATAATGAATGCCTTTAAGAGTAATGTTGCTATTTGGAGTGGACAAACATTCGTCATGCTGAGGAGGAACTCACCTGGATAGGGGATACGGTCTCTGTACTTCGGCACGGAGTCGTCCAGAGTGAGCAGCATCACCCACATGGTCAGGGCGAACATACCAGCCAGGAAACAGTAGAAGACCAAGTAGAAGAGCAGGATGAGGGCTGCACCAAGTTACAGGAACACAACAAAGAAGAGAAGAAGAACAGAGGTGTTGAACATTAAACACCATCTCTGATCCAACACCTGCCTCATCGTTGAGCTGATGAGAGGAACTGTTTTGAATCAAAAAGGAAAATGTACCCATTCTCAACTTGGGGCGAGACGCATTATCTATTTTCAATCCATCACAATGTGAATATGAACAATTCTGAATATATTTTACAATATCCAGAAATGTTGTTTTATGTTAATGATGTCATCTTGAGAAATGCAAAGGCCAAACGCTGAAATGCAAGAAGTGCAGTGCACAGAGACGCAACAGAAACATGCCACCAAGATGGCTGGTGGAGACAAAAACAGCTCCTTCTACGTCAAAAACAAGTGTTTGGAAACTTTTTATTTGAAGTTAAAGGGAAAATTGTATCGACAAGACTTCCACACCGTGCAAGTTGTGTGCATGTTTCCACTCAGAGGAGAAAGACCAACCAGCCCGTTGCAGCCGCTCTTCACTAACCATCAGTATCCAGAGGAGCATGGAGAAAACGAGCAACATCAGACTCCACCTAACTCAAGTGAATTACAAAGTTTACATTGCGTAAACTTGGTACTTGTACACCAGGTCCTGTGCACTATTTTGCACTTGATCAAGCTACACATGATCATATTATGTCAAAGATATACTGACAGCCATGCTCACATTCTACGGGACCAAAAACTGTCTAACATTTGAGTATTTCTTGGTGCAGATTATTGATAGGAGTTCAAATAAATACCATTAAACTTCTTACAATTAGTTTGAAAGTGGATTTGAAAATCAGGAGCTTTCTTTTTGCATTAACACCTCAAACTTAGCAAGGACGGCATCGGCTTTTCCCCAAAAGTGCCCCATGATGAGCAGTGCGATTGTTGAGAAACTTGTGATCAGATCTATACATTTACTGGACCTCTTCTCCACGAGACACTGTATCGTGTTTAATGTACAACGAGAAACAAACAGGGTTTCACACAAACACCTAATACTGGTATTGGGGCAGCACGGTGGCTCAGTTGTCTCTCAGCGAGAAGCTCGCTGGACCGAATCCCAGCTGGAGGTCTTTTTGGGTGGAGTTTGCATGTTTTCTCTGTGTATGCATAGGAATTCACCGGGTATTCCGGTTTCCTCCCACAGACCAAAAACATGCATGTTAGACTGAATGTTAACTCTAAATTGTCCCTAAGTGTGAGTGAGAGTGAATGGTTGTTTGTCTCATTTGTCTCTAAGTGTCCCTGTGATGGACTGAGACCTGTCCAGGGTGTCCCCAACCTCTCGCACAGTGACTGCTGGACATGGGCACCAGTGAACCCTGTGACCTGCCAAGGAAGAAGCGGGTAAAGATGATGGATGGATGGTATCTGCATTGGTGCATCCCCAATTGCAGCAGAATCTTTTTGTCACTATAGATGACATTTTGACTCCTTTGTCCCTCAAAACCTTGTAGGAATGAAAACAGTTTTATACTGCGGAGAATAGCAACATATCTTGCTTCTTATAGATTCTATATTCATTTTGCTTGGATGGAAGCATTGTAATCATTTTATATTCACATTGCAGCCCTCTGAATCCTTGTCAGATCATTAGGTATCTAAAGATTCTTACGCCATCTTACCTGAGGACCTTTGAGCAAGTTACATCAAAGTTGCCACCTAACTTGCAAAAGACAAAGGGGAATTGCAAACTCCACTGCAACTTGTGCACCGTGTTTCACACGCTGGCGACGTGATATAGAAGATAATGATCTCATGCCAAAGTCGTACTTCCACAGACATCCCCACACTTGAAACACTGAGGAATGCGAGTCTGACAGCTCGAACACGTGACGCATGGACATCCACCGACACAGAATCGTATGCCACTGTGTTCTGCATTTTTCCTTATTTGTTTATGAACCCCCAAAATCGTGTTCACATTAAATTCTGCCGTGCAGAGCAAAAATAGTTAGGTTTTTTTTTTTTGCTCAAGATTTTGTTTGAGGAGTGATTATGGATGCATCAGTAATTGTTTTAGAATCACATAGCATCCTTCCTGAATCGTGATTGAATTGTGGGGTGCCTAAAGATTCCCACCCCTTCTTCTAAATCATTGAAAGAGGTTTATTGAATGTAGACACCCCCTCCCCTCCAAACACGTTTTAAAATCAGGCCAGATTAACTGATGGAGGCACATGCCGGTGCAGCCTCAAAATGGTTCACTATCCGGCTGGTACAACACTGATGCCCTCTAAAAGAAAAAGGGTGCCCCCCACCCCCATCTTTTTTTCCCCCACATTCCCCTACAGTGGTATCCCACAATGCACCTGCTTAGTGCGTGAAAGAAGGAGAAAGAAGGGAGAGGGAATCCCATTTGACCTTGACAGGCATGCTAATGCGGGCAGCCATGGAACTGCAATGGAGCATCCCACTGCACAGCAGCACGGGGGCCCAGGCAGCCCGACAGCCCGAGCGAGCCTTTAGGACTGCGGGCTGCGGGGAAAGGGAGGGAGGGTGGTGTGCTACCACCTCACTCTGAAGCCATCATTACATAAAAATCCACATCCTGATCAGCTGTAGATCAGGGACTGCAGCAGCAGGCTCTTCAGATCTGATGAAAGCTGCTGAGGGGGGGTGGTGTGCTCCATGAATGCTCATTACATAAGATTTATTTAACAAAAAATGAATAATCACTGCTGTGACCGGTCATGCAGCAAGAGAAGACTGGGGCACACCTTTTGGTAGCATCATTCGCCCTGCTGAGCACTCTTGGTGCAGGCTTCTCCTTCCCACCTTCATGTAGGCCCCATGATGCCTCCTCAGCTAATTCCTAATCTGCATGACAGTCATCTGAAGCATCAGACACGTAAAACAGACTGAGTGCATTTAAGATATGGAACTGAAAGGCAGAGGACAGCAGACTGAAGTGAAGGTCCCTGATGGCTGCTGAGTAATGGGCTCCTTCCTTACCCCAGCTGCTGGCCGTCCGACCCAGCAGCTCCCCGGTCCTCGGGTTGTAGATGGAGTCCTTCCAGCTGGACTTGTTCTCCTTGCTGGCAGCTTTATCCTCGGTGCTCGCCATGGTGCTCAGAGTGATTTGGTGCCGGAGGAAGAAAAGTGCCGGTTCTCCGCCCTTTAAATTAAAAAAAAAGGATGAAAAGAAGGCAGAAAAGCGCTGCGATGAGGCGGCGGAGCCGGCGGTGAGTGGTCGGATCAATGGTTGGGGAGAAGTGGGCGGTGGAGGAGGAGGAGGGAGACAAGCAGGAGAGAGATGCTCTGGTGGAGGAAGAGGACAGGGAGGGGGCGAGAAAGAAGGTGAGGAAAGAGAAAAATGCGTGACGTCCGCGCAGCCGTGTGGTGGAAGCTGATGCGGTGAGCGCTGATGGATGCGCATTGGATGATGACCCAGAGACGCGCACAAATTATAAATGGAGAGCACAGCAGAATTTTTTTTTTTTAAATGACATAAAACCCTTTAATCTCGTTTTTATGTTTAAGGCAGTCGGAATGCTGTTTGACAGGCTGCAAGGTGCCAAAGCACGCCTTGTTCCCGCGCGTGTCAGCCTTTTAATGCGGGACGTCCTGGTTTGTTGCAGGTTCTGGTGAGTCACGAACCCGTCCAACATCCCACACTCTGAGAAAACAGGGTGCAGGTGGTTCTGAAAGGGTATACAGAACAAAACACACGTGACCAAAAGTTTCCTGAATCACACAAAGTACTGGATTTGGTTAGGGATTTATGAGTCTTAACAGCTTCAGGGTAGAAGCTGTTCCTCAG